GCTACAATATTTTTATTTGCCATGTTTTCAAAATTTGACTATGAAGAGGGATGCCGTAATCATAATCGAATTTTGAGAACGCAATATATATAATTTCCTTAAGTTGAACCAATCCAACATGAAATTCATATATATATTCTTGACTAAAGATGATTAAGGTCTCAATCTAAGCCTTTAGAACTGAAATGAAGTATATCCTCTCCCTTAATTTTAGCAAAACAACTTTTTTAATCCCTGCAGCTCACGAATTGAAACTTTTGTTTTCTATATTAACATTGCTAACTTGCAACACTAACAATAATTATCATGCTCTACTAACATGATGATTATTAGCATAACACTTATGCTCCCACTAGCTTTGACATGTACTCAGAAATCAGCTGGACTTCTAGAAATCAATACTTTATTGAAAACAATAATTATCTTTAAGGCTCCCACTATCCTCTTGACATATAAGACTATCTTGCCAAATATTCAAGAGATAGTGCGGATTCTTTATCAAGACAAACACTTCACACAATTGGCCTTAGTTGGTCTTTGTTTTATCCAAAACATCACAACTTACCAATTTCAAATGTACAAGAGTAGGACACTTTTACTCTTACATTTGACAAGTGTTTTAAACCTTTCTTTAAGATATGTCACTCAAGTTACAATCTTGGAGTATGACTCTAAGAATTGTTTTGGAACGAAGTATGACTCATCTTCCTGATCTAACCATTTCAACAATTCATGACTCCTCTTCTTAGTCATAAGAATGCACTAAGATGACCTTTAGAGGACTAATTGTGATATGATTTCTAAATCATTAAGATGATCAAAAACATGATACTAAAGTACTCTCCCATCTTTTCAGATTTGAGAAACTTTTATCTTTTTTCCTAATTTGATTCTTCCCATTCGTTCTGTCATACATTGAGACTTTTCCAATGTTTCAGAATTATACTTAAACTTGTAAGTATAACCATATTTACTAAACTTTAGTAAATCAAATAGTCTTAACGAGCTTTGTGGTGGACATGACCAGTGCACAAGAATGTGTACTCGATCCCTTTAGTCCTTCACTTGACTCACACATCCATGTGAACAAGTAATTAGTCTTGATTTTCCAATGCTTGAAAGTTCTCATTCATCATACTATTCAACTTGCATGATTCCAAGTTTCGGTCCAATTGAAACTTGGGTGATGAGGAACTTTCCTGATTTGGTAAATTTAGACACAACCACAAATGAAAGAATCAAATCCATTTTCCAATATTGCTGTCAGTGGAATCATATAAGCAACAATTTTCCACAATGCCATTGTAAGGATACTTCAAATAAATAAAATTAAACAATTTTCTTTTATTTTAAAACTTTGCGGAAAAACTTATCCTTACAATCCACATGGAAAATTGTTGTTATCTATTCCTTAGCAATATATCATAACTTCTTAAGCAACTGCTCAAAATTGTGATGCGATCGAAATCCACCTTCGCGATCAGAATCAGCATATACTTCCTTTAAGATTTCTCTCTATTCTTTGATTCTTAAAACATCAACATGTGACCCAGTCACATCATGTAATGAGGATCTCAGAATAGAACTTAACAGAGTTAGATAATGGGCTCTACCTGATGTAGAGTCAAACTTATTGACTTTAACATCCTTAGGTAAATTTGGCAGCTTTGCAATCAACGCCCCTTCCTTTGGCAAAATAAACATATGGACCCTTTGGTAATGGGACTATCTCAGACTTAGCCTTTCTCTTTACCATTTGGTCAACCGGGTTGACTATGGCCAATCCCTTTCCATTGGGAAGAGAATGCTTTTTCTGGATTTCCAGTGTCACCATTGTCACTGTCCATAAAGTTTTTGGGAAGTTGATCTTCTAATCAAATTTGCTTTACTATCGTTCCAAATCATTGCTGATTCAGCAGCACCAAGCAAATAGATATGGTCATTAAGGTTCATGTCATAGTCTGTTTCATAGTAGTCCCAAAGGAACTCACTATGTGACTTAGAAAGTGATTGAACATCCAACTTTCTCAAGACTTTGACACCCAACTCTCCCGGCTTGTCAATATGTGACTTCATCTCTAAGATGTGATCACACATAGACCTTGCTTGCCATTAGGGCTTGAGTGACCTTGAACTTGTGGGTTAGGGAGAATAATTGGAGGAGGTGGAGGAAGAGAAGTATGACTTCCATGAGCCAAACTCGGGAAGTCATATTCATTAGGAAAGCTTGGTTTGGGAAGATCATTGTTGTCTAAACCAGACATCAACAATGGGAGAAATTCACGTAAAGTTGATTTAAGTCCTTAATATAACACCCAATATGATATATTAAGGCTAGGACCCAACAAACTATTCTATAACTTGGAAGAGGGATGCCGTAATCCAAGCTATAAAATATTTGAAGGTAGGTGAATGACGATTCACCAATTTCCACCAAGATAAACGAAATGTATTATTAGGTTTTAATTGGTTTTGAAACTCCTAGATTCTTTTGAGATTCATTGAACTTTTCAATGGCATGTTTCAATCTCGAGTGTGCCCTTCAGGTTTTGTGACTGGGATGCCGAGGATCACAAAACAAGGTGTGAAGTAACCATGAAAATATACTTGGTACCCTTAATATTTACCCCTCAATCGATGTGCCGGTTAACCACACACGCTCCAACGATACTATGATAAACATTAAGTTACCCTTTGCCTACCTTGTTAAGTCCAGGTTAGTGTGCCGGTTAACCACACACGCTCCACTAACAGCTTAAACAAAGTGCAAAGTGTAATTTCATGGATTAGCACCTTATTCACATTTTCCTAAGTAACTAAGATTGGGAATTTATAAGTGTTTAGTTACTTAGTATTTATCATTATACTTATAATGAAGGGAGAATTATAGTCCTTGTCCTACCTGTTCGGCTAACGACCCTCCACCGGTCAAGGAAGCGGTGAGTGAGAGTGGACACCCATTAAACTGCCATTTTATAGGCAGTAACCTTATACCCCCCTTATAGACCGGCTTCGTGAATGAGGCCTACTAATGGTAACACGACTTGCTCTTATACATATAATATATTAAACTTTTAATATTATAATAATATAAGGGTGTATTTTAGACATTTAAAATACTTGGTGGTTTAATCTATTAATTAAACTAGACTTTTAATTTAATTAAACTCAAACCATATATTTATGGATTAATAATACTCTTTTAATTAAACGCTTTAATTAACTATTAATAAAGTCCATAAGAGTTAATTTGAACTATTCAACAAACATCATAATTCCAATTATTAAACTCAAAATTAAAACCATTTAATTAATTGTTTAAGTTATGAACCCAAGAGTTTTAGAATTCAATTCTTTTTTCATAAAAAACTTTTCTCAAATTCCAAAACTTGAGGGCAAGTTTTGTAATTCTTGAAAACCTTTGGATTCCATAACTTATGGAATTAATGGTGTTTATGATGAAACTTTCCATGTTCCATAACTTAATAACAAGTTATGGAATTCTTTAAAACATTAACACAAATTTTGTAACTCCATAAAAACTTTGAATCAATTTTTTTTTTTTTAAAAAAAAAAACTTTCATATCCATAACTTATGGAAGTTTCAAAAACCTTTAAGATCACAACTTTAAAAAAAACTTTTGAGCTCCAAAATTTTATGACAAAATATGTAACTCCTTAAAACATTTAGATCAAACTTTTAAAACTAATAAAATAATCATATCATTTTATCTTTTACTAAATTTGACATAATTCAACTCATATAACAAATGATTCAAATTTTACAAATAATTTGTTTTTCACAAAACAAGTAATTATCTTAAAATTTGACAAACGTCATGTTTTTTTTTCCCTTTTTTTCCAACTTGAAAATAAAACATTTGCATCACTATAACAGAAAACAACCCATGGCTCTGACACCACTGTTGGGTTTTGAGCATTCTAACAATCTTATGGTGTACATGCAACCCTATAAACCTTGGATCTCTGTTTTCTCTATTATACATGCAAATATTAACTATTCCAAGGTTTCATCCTAACTAGCATATTATGAAGCACCTATCCTACAAAGTTCTAGTTAGATGACATACCTTTTGATGTAGCTTGATGTCTTCAAGCTTTAAGAGCTTAGCCCCAATAGTGTGGAAGCCTCAAATGGAATCACAAATCACCAAAACACCTTGGAAGAACTTGAGAGAATACGTATGCACACTAAAATCGGCCCACTCTTATTTTCACACACTTGTGCCAATTTTGTGTGCCAAGGACCCCTTTATATATTATGGAGGATTAGGGTTACATCCATGTAAACCCTAATACCCACGACCTTTCATTTACATAGGATCCATAGGTTAAAAGCTCCATGGACCATCCATGAAAGCTTAGCCCAACCTAAATGAACTTGGCCCATTCCATATATATATAAGAGTCCATATTTAATTAGTTCTTTTTGATCACTTAATTAATTCTAAATTAATTCTTGATCAATACTAATTAAATAATATGATTCAATATTAATATATTAGAACTTATAATATATTAATATAAATCATAAATATACTATTCTCAAAAGACTATCCATATAAATTGTGCCGGTGAAGTGCAACCCAAATGGACCATGCCGGGTCGGGTCAAGTACATACCAAATATAGTTATGGACTTAGACATTAATCCCACATCATCTTTATCACAGTCATTGTTGTTTTGTTGAAAACCAATAGTTGCTCTATCCGGACCTTTATTAATATATTTGAATAAATACTTGATGGAAGATCCTTGATTGCACCATTCAACATTTATGTGTGCTTGGTATCGTTTCAACAGGTATTTGTTGTATGGAACAACATTTCTGTTATCTAACTGGACACCAGATTTTTCGACAAACGATCCATCATTTTTTTCTCCTATATACAGGAAAACCATTCTGATCAATTGAGGTATGTTCAGAGAAATTTTTTGGGAAGTTTTTAGAGCATTTGTTATCCACCATGCAAGGGCAATTAACATTTTGAGCACCACATGGACCATGTATTCCACGGTAGGAAGCTTGTATTCAGGTTGCATGAATAGACAAATATGACTGTGAGGCAAACCGCGCTTTTGAAACTCAATTGTATACACAACTGCATATATAGAAATAAATAACTTTGTATTAATAAATTTAATAATGTAGAAAATATAACAATATTTTAAATAAAACACGACATTAAAATATAATATGGTTAGTATGAATAAAAAAATTTTAAATACCTGCTTGAACCATGCCAAATACTGCATTCTCGCGTAGGTCTTTAATCAATGCATCAAGTTTGATCTTAAATAACCTACATAGGATATCAGGTCTATCCTCTGGATTAAGAGTAGTGTCTTTAAGAAATATTCGAACTTCTGGGCATTTTGGGTTGCATGTAAAGGTTATGAAAAAATCAGGATATCCAAACCACTTACAAAGCGACATGGCGTCTAAGTAGTTTTGCATCATGTAACGTGCACCGCCAGTAAAAGAAGAAGGTAAAATAACACGTTGGCCAAATTCCGAAATATTCTTATTCCCCTGATCTTGAAACTTACGCAAATTCTCATAAGATTCACATCGAAGAACTTTTTGTTTCTTTCGTACGTAAAATAATCTCTCGCTTTCAATCATTGTATAACCATCTACCAAAAACTGTTGAAAAAGCCTTCTTGAATTCAAAATCAATGAGAAAGAATTAACCCTGTCTTGAATTCTGTAAGCGAAAAATTCCCTCATTGTAGTGTTTGGACGCTTGCTATCGCTCATAGACGTAACACCTCTATGGGGGATGTCAACTCTATAACCATCATCACCATATGGAAATAGTAGAGGATATTGTAGAGCAAGGTAAGAAGGATGTAATTCACTGATACGACGTAGAGCTCCAGACGAAGTTTGCACTACAATGTCTCTGTTATCTATAAAATCACCAATGTCTCCTACAATTAAAGCGGCAACCTCAGAAGCAGTTGGTTGGTTATATGTCCTTCCATCATGTTGTCTTTTTCCAATAATTCGTAACTTTAGGTCAGCACGAGGATTTGAATTAAAAACATCTCTAACCATCCTATAACACTTGACCAACTCGTTATTTGAATCCAACATAAGCTTCAAATATTCTATAATTTGAAGATCAGTTGAATCATCAGTTGATGTAGAGGCATGCTTGCTTCCCCTGTAAATGAAATTATTTTAATATAAAAATGAGTAATATAAAAGTAATATTGTTAAAGTGATAATAGAAAGTAATAGTAAATTAGAATATATACCAGAAACATTTCTGTCTATTTGATGTTTCATTTTCGGTATCATATATGTACAACTGTGAAAATCTTGGTTGACATCCATTCGTAGGGAGAAGGCTTCCGATATTATGATAATTTTGACCGCTAAGCCTGAATATGTATGGTGCGTTTCCTTTATTAATAGATGAATCAACTTTCCCACCCATCGACGTAAATGAAAACATTGAATTGTAACGACGAATGTTTTTCATGAAGTATTTGCTTTTGGAATCTGTCTGAAGATAAAGTTGTTTGTAACTTTGCGGTGGCTCTTTTAAAGGAGGTAGTTCTACCTTTCCATAACCACAACAGAGAGAAAAGATTTTATTCCCTGTTTTATTGCCTCTTGAAGATTCGTCTTTCCATAATTTAGCGTGACATAGTTCACAAACAACATTCTGATCACCATGATCTAAATAACCTGTTAAATAGAACATTATAAATAATGTAAGTATAAAAAAAGTTATAATTAGCAACATCAAATATGTAAAATGTTGTTTATGATTATTACTTTTTGATATACCAACATGTGTGGGTTGGATAATATCTCCACCATTTCTTTCATCATCTGTCGTTAAGCCAAAATATAGGTATAGGAGATATATGTGCAGACTTTCTTTTTGAGTTGTGTGGTCGTGAAGAATTTTGTTTGGATGAATAATTGTGTGTGACCGTGGAAAAATTGATTGATTTCTTGGAATTAGAAGGTGATGAAAATCGTCGGTTACTTGATAAGTGTGTTGGAGCATTATGTCGACTGCTACAAATAACTGAAAGAAAAACAGTATTGTAATCATGTAGTTATTGTAATATAAAATAATATTGTATTGTATATATAATAAAAAAAAATATGCATACCATTTGAGATATTGGAAAGTGGACTCCTAAAATTTAGATTTGAAGGAGATGACAAGGTTGTAGAATGATATTGAGGAGTCTTGTCAGAGCTGATATTTTCCTTTTGAGACGAAATATGTGTGAGCTTTTTTGAAGAGTTGAAATGTTGACGATGATTGAAGACATCACCTACATATAATTATAACTTTGTTTAATAATAATGAAAGTTATATACAATTGGGTAATTTCATAAAACATATAGTTAGGATAATAAAAGTAAGTAAATCACACAAAATAATTACCGTTCGGGCTCGTGTTAACAGGTGGCGTTGCAGACGAAGTATGACCGTTTGATATGGTTGATTTATTTTTGAATTTTCTATTATCCAAATATAACTTCCTTAGTTTTCTCTGGTCTTTAGCTGAAGTAGAATCATTTTTTCTCTCAGAATCTATAATAGAAACAAAGTTTAATTAAAACATAATATATAACCTAACTTTGTAACTTATTTTTGTATTTGTTATGATTGGTTTTTGATATAACTGCATGTATGGATAGAGAAGATGTGGACCATTAATATGATCACCTGTTGTTAGGTCGAATATACGTATAGGAGATATATGTGTAGACTTTCGTTTTAAGTTGTGCACTCCTGGAGACCTCTGCTTGGATGAGGATGTCGGAACTTTATAAGGGATGTTAGATAAAGCTGGAAAAAATATGTTACTTTTTAATTATATAGTTATTGTAATGTAAAAGAATACTCCATGTATAATAACAATAATAAAAATTATACATACCATTTGATATATTGGATAGGGGAGTCATATAATTGATGTTTGAAGGAGATTGAAAGCTTGAGCAATGATATTGAGAAATTTTATTAGAGCTACTTTTTAAATGTTGACGATGACCGAAGACATTAGCTACATATAATTTGAAATATAGTTAATAAGGAAAATAAATCATTAATATTAATTAATTATATAGATTTCAATTTTTTATATTATTTAACAAATAACATACTAATTATACAAAAATTATTAACATACGAAAAAATTACCATGATGGGTACTGTTAAAAGGTGGTGAGGTAGATGAAGTATGACCGTCTGATGTGGTATGTATTTTTTTTAAATCTTTTATTATCCAAATATAGTTTCTTTAATTTTCGTCGTTCTTTAGCCGAAGTGGAATCCATTGTATTTTCTATCATCTGTATATGAAAATAAATTTAATTAGTATTTAAAATACAAATGGTACGTTAAATAAAAGTTATGTATAATGTCACATAAAAGGTACGACCAGAACTTATCTTCAAGAATGCAGAATACAGTCAAGTGATCAAAAGATTTTCAAAAGCAAATGAAGACATGTACCAACGAAGAGTCGTGCAGCAGTGGCAGACGATATTTGGAGAGTCCTACAGGGTAGTGACGCCGTATGAGTGTACCGGCGGACCTTGATCGTAGGCTGACTGTCGGAGGCAAAAATCGAAGGGGATTGTAAGACGTATTTCACTCGGGACTAAAGAAGAGGGTGAAAACAGAGAGTCGGGACTGAGAACGGAGAGGGATTAGAGCGTAAGCAACTTATATCAGCAAAAGGTTTTTAGGTTTTTTGGATCTAGGGTTTTAACTTTATTTCAATACTTGTCGATTTTAAATTTTTTTCACTCCTGACAGGATGGATTTTTCGTAAAATTGAATGCAAAGTGAAGATTTCCAGGTCAGACGTCATTGATTTTAAAGTAAAAAAGATAGGTTTCTGATTTCTCTATATATGGTTTGCTAAATTGAAGCCTGAAATTGTGGATTGATTGAAACTAATTGATTTGAAATAATAGTTCAACTAAAATTGGAATATGAAAGAATGGCTTTTTTTTATTCTGAATTGAAGGTTGATCAAAACACCTAGTTTTGCCACTTGTTCTTTCCTAACGACACATTATGGATAGAGGGTATTTTTGGAAACTTACAACCCTGCAGGGCATGAACCGACCATAACAGCTAACATTACCTTGTGCTGAAACAGCTTGCTTCTGTCTTACAGATATTCACATTCTGCTGTCTCCTGTTCTTGTAGCCAAGGCTCTGAGTTTGTCCCGGAAGGAAGACATAATGTAGATAAATGATGAATTTCAGATCTTCGAATGAAGGGAATTGCTCTGATACTTTCACCTCACTTCTTATTCAATTAATATTAAAAATTGCCATAAAAGGAATTTTTGTCATTGTTTATTGTTTCCATGTTGGCTCATTATTGACAGATAAAGAAACAGAGGGGAAAAGTAATTGATCTAGTACTTTCATGGTTGTCTTTTTACTTAAGGGCACAATAGTCATTTTACACATTTCAGAGAACAAAACAGCAATAAGATAAAAGCATATAGCCAAATTTGCAACAAAAATCTCGAAGCTCTTGTGATTGTCAGAGAATAGTTGTTATTTTATTGTGCTTATCAGTTATCACTTCAAGTTTATTGTGTTGAACTGATAAGTATTTGTATGATTATGATGTAAAGTAACTATCTCCAAGTTCTCTGTTCAATCATGCAATATCAAACATCTGTGGATGTGGTCTGACATGTCTCAATTTGTGTACACATGCAGCATCAGTAAAGGAGGTTGTTCTTAGTGTTGTCTCCCTTGAAGATTCTAAGAGAGAAGAATTTAACAAAATTCAACAGGTTTGATCCGTTATTATATAGGAACTTATAATTGTTTTGTTGGATCGTGTTCAAGTGTAAATCAAATTATGTTTGCTTTTATTAAGTTCCCTAACTATTTTGTCATTCTCTGTGAATTGATCTTCAGGAACTGACAAAGCTTTCTCGAAAATTTGAATGCTAAAGGTTTTACTTTTTATCATCCCATCTCTTCTCCTTTATAAGTTATTATTGGTCACATGTCTCTAATAATTGCTTGATGTTAATTTTTCATATTTCAAAATTGTTTTGATGGATCAACTCATTTATAAAGTTCCATGTGGTCTATCGTAGCTCCTGAAACTTCAAATCCGGTAAATCCTTCAAACTCAACAATGAAGATCAAAAAAAGGTATAAACTTCTTTACTTATGAAATTGCATGGATGATTTTATAAATTAAATCAATAACCTTTTATTTTATCGTTAAAATTGTAGAAAATAGCAATATATTTTATTGAAAATGATAGTGATTTACTAATTGTACTTTATGAAAATTAGAAACAAATTATTAAGAAAGAAACACATAATATAAAGTCATCCTGGAATTTATTAAGAAACAGTCAAATTAAACCAAAATACAACCAAATCCATCAAATCTCTAACCAAAAAAATGAAAATGTCTTAAAACCCTTAGGAAAAAACTTAAAAACTGATTATTGTTCTTAAAAGGTAGGTGACCAATCACTTTTCCAACTTAAATTTGACAAGTTTATGTTGTCCAGCTTCCCCTCCTATACCTTTTGTAGTCTTTGATGATGACATGTTGTCATTGACATCCAAAACAAAATCATCATCAAGAGCTCGCTTCAAACCTTTTGTTGCATCCAAATTCTTTTTTGGGCTTGTGGCTGTCGATTTGAAAACATTCATTGGTGTTACATTATCATCAGTCTGAGATATGGCATCCTAAAATTATAAAAGAAAAATAGTATTATTAGAGGTTATTAAAGTTAAAGAAAATACTAACATGAGATATTTAGATAACTTAGAGTACACCTTTATAAATATGTTATCTTGAGATTCACAATCAGTGGTACCATGTTCAAACGATTGTGAATTAGCTCCCTGTTCAAAACACAAAAGAAAAATTAATAAGCCTTTTTTTAAGTATATTATATTTTGGAAAAAAAAATCAATTATAATAACCTCTGCAACTCTAAATTTTTTTTCCAACTCCTCAATCATAATCTCATCATCACTAATCCTGTAAATAGTATATTGATTGGTGTTCCTTTGCACATTGTATTTTGAAACAAAAACTACGAAAGCCAATTTCATATCTTTCAATACATCGGACGGGTATACGTTAGTAGAAAAACCAAGCTGCAAGTAAAAACATAAAAAGATGTAATTAAATATAATAACAATATTTTGTTTTTAAAAATAATAAGAAAAACATTCACCTTAGCTGTTTTTGCGACTAAATCTTTTGCAGAAATTTTTAGAAGCTTTTTCGCATCTTGTTCAAACATTGTTAAAGTAATACTTCCAGTATGATCTTGAACTCTTACCGGAATCATGAACATTTCAAGAAATGTAAAATTCTCAAAATTATTCAACATAATTTGGAAATTACTATTATATGAAAATTGAGTTTTTCAAAATGTATTAACCTCGGAACTGTCAATGTTTCAGTTTTTGTGCATTTTGGATTTTGACATTCATATGTGACATTGGGTTCATCAGAAGGATTTTTTGGAACCGCCTTTGTATTGCAATTTGTACATGCCGGGTAATGCCAAGGTGTGTTTTTAAGAATTCCTTTTATGGTCGCAACAATAACATACTTTTTTATCTGATTTAAAAAAGACAATAATATTATATGTTAGGGTGCAAAGTCACTCTTGGATGTAGTGTTTTAGGCTTACCCTCTTGTATGTGTAAATGAGTTGAGTCTTTCCTATAAATAGGAAGTGAGTGACTTCCATTATAAAAGGAACCATTTGGAGTGTTAGACTAGAGAGAGAAATTGTGTACAAACCCATTTGTATATTCTTTCTAGATTTAATATGAGCTTACAAAGATTTATTTACTCCTTGTGTTCTTGATTTTACATGATGATTCACTAGATCTTTCTAATTCCGCACATGCCATCATAATAAAAACCACTACAATTGGTATCAGAGCGGGTGTTCTTGATTTCATCAAGAATTGATCCATGGTGACAATCTTGATTTGGTGATTCATTTTTTGATCTTTGATCTTCGTGATTTGGAGAGTTTTTGGATTCTAGAAATCGAATTCATCATTGTTTTTACTCATAATTTGATTTTCTTCACTAGAATTCAAATGATTTTTGCTTATCTCTCTAGAAAACCCATTCAAAATCACTTTCTCTCTCTAGAAATCTTCAAGTTTTTGTGATCATGGTGAATTTGCCATACAATTCTTGGATTGTGATCGTTGAAGGTATCAAATACAAAGTCAATAAAGATCAATATTATGGGTTAGTGTTAAACAATTTGATTTTTTGAGAAACTATGGTTTCTTATGGAGGATTGAAGGATGATCATGGAAGCTTGATATTTCAACCACTTTGTGAGATCAAATGGTTGGCTGATATTACATGGTCCATATCATCACGTAGTAGTGATAAGATTGTTGAAGTTGTTAACAATGGAGTTCAATGTGATGTTCGTGCTCTTAAGGTTGTTGAAGTTGTTAACAATGGAGTTCAATGTGATGTTCTTGATGTTCTTGAAGTTCATGATAAGAAGATTCAAGTTGATTCTCAAGATGAAAAAGTTTTTTGCTCGATTGGAGTTCAAACCGATGATATTTTGTGTTCTTGTGATTCGTTTGAAGGAATGATTCCTTATCGGAAGCCGGTGATCCAAAAAATTCACAAGTATCAAACTCCAAAAGATTTGATTCAAACTCAAGAAGTTGTGGAAAGTGGGTTTGTTCATGAAATCAAGTCTTCAAGATGCAAAAAGATGAGAAAGAAAAAAAAGAAGAAGATCAATCGCAAAAACAAACGGGTTTACTTACATAAATCGTTAAATGGTATGAAGCCGAAATCTGTGAAACAAATTTGGGTTCCAAAGCAACAATCTCCAAGTGTTGCATTGAATTGGAAGTCGAAACCCAAAAGTGTTGGTGGTTCTTTTGAAGATGTTCTTGGATCGTTGAAGAACATGAAGAACACGAAGAACGAGTTGTACATCTCGCATAATGGGTGGTACAATGTTCTAATTGGAGATTTTCTAGTTCTAACAAAAGAACCAAAATCTTCCAAATTTAATTCGTTCGTTGAAAATGGAACTCGATTCGTCAAAAAGGTATCATAAATTCTCAAATGGATTCCAAAACGTCAATGATTTCTATTTGTATTATGCGTTTTTCATTTTTGATCGATTTGCCTCATTGGATCAAATCCGTTTCAACCACATTGATTGATCCAATTATTTTTGTTCAGATCAAAACCAAATTCAACTCATTTTGTTTAATCTCAAATTTTACTGTTCATCAAATTCGAGTATTGTTCAAAGCCCAATCCTAAACATTTGTTTAATTTCACTGTTCATATATCCAATTAATTGAGCCCAAAAGCTGAAATAGTTACTGCTCATTATCCGATTTGTAATCCATTCTTCATATATTCTTTTTCTCATATCATTCTTTAGCGGCAATCTTTTGTTTCTCGGAAGGGGCTGGAATCAAATCGAGTTTTGTTTTCAAATCAAAATCAAATATAATCTGTTCGATGGAATTGTTCGTGATTCGTGTTTAATCCTGTTCGCTTTCATCTTAATGTCGTTGATTGAAGTCGATTTCTAGTATCGAGTTGGATAAACAAGTCATGTATTTTTGATTGATTGAGTATTAAGTCAAAATAGATGTTTTGAGTTTTGTTTTCTGGAGTCGATTCGAAAGCCAAGTTGATTTATTGAAATCTGTTTTTGAAGACAAAATCGAAAAGTCAACCTCAAAGTCAAAATAAGTGTTCTTGATGAATCTGGAATTGATTTCACTTTTGTTGTTCTTGTGTTGAGTCATTTGAAAAATCGAATAGGAAAATGATATTAGAGTCGAACTCGATTTCAAAGTTTTGACTTGGAGCTGCGATTTGATTTCGAATGGTCGTTCGATGGTTTGGGGATGAACAAAACTCAGATTTTGGAATTGGGGCTTATGATGTAGGTTGGAGTCGATAAAATAGGGTGATAGTATAAAAGTGATTCTGTAAAATAAGGTGATAGTATAAATAGGGTGATGGTATAAATACATGCCAAAAATAAAAGTGAACAAAAATATTCCCTGTTTTTCAAAATTTAAAATTCATGAAATGAAAGTTAATGGTGTACAATGACATAAAGGGTAAAATTATCAAAGTCGTAAATAAACATGTAACATACATAGATTGTCTTATTATTATTATTATTGTTATTATTATTATTATTATTATATATTTCTGTTTTTATTTAGATGACATGCATATTTAAAAAAAAGGGTAAAATGGGGATTTTTGATAAATATAGAGATACCTGCGAATAAAAGCAATGAGTTGCTGGTTTTATTTTATTTTTCTTTCCTTTAGACAGTGGTCAGTGGAGCTTGGGATATTTTAAGCCGAATGTGATTTGTGAGAACCCTATGTTTTATGTGATTTATAAATTTTAGATGTTTTTTTCATTAATATGATGAAACTTTAAAATGTGACAACACAGATTCAAATACGGAGGATTCATATGTCATTCTTATATATAGCAGCGAGAGAGGATTGAATAAGGCAAGAACACTGCACATCTAGAGCTTTATTATATAAAAATATAAATATAGAGTAAAAGGGTAAAATGGGGATTTTCATAAATACAGAGATACCTGCGAACAAAAGCCATGAATTGGTCGTTTTATGTATATTACTTGAAGTTAACCATTTGTATAAAAGCATAAAAAACAACAATATACTACAAAATATTTATATAGATGACAGTAATGTACATATAAAGGACCATTGAATTGAAGAGTTTTGTATACTAACCTGATGGATCGAAATCTGTGAATGTAGATGCAGAGATGCGGAAGAATTATACTCTGAAAGCCTTGAAGAGAGAAGTGAAGAAAACAATTTTATGGATCGGTCATTATACGTATTTATAGGTATAATGATAAAGTGATTGTAAATTGAATAGCTAATTTTCAGGGATATCATATCTCGATTTCTCTATAATTTCTCTATGATCTCTATAATATCTGTATAATATAATTTAAAATTTAAATGCAGCTAACGTGTTTTTTTTTTTCGCAGGTAAATCTTGAACTATTTGACATAGAATATTTGACATAGAATGTAGGAGGTATTTATGGCAGTGAATCATGGAATTAAAGAGGTTTAAGAGGGAGAATTTGGAAAATCAATTGCTGTTTTTTTAGGGATTTTATATGTATAGTGTTTTGTATCCTGTATATTTAAAATTGAAATGCCGGTAATTTAGAGTATCAATCAATTGTAACTGATATACTGATTTGTAGGAATATATATATAATTTTTTTATTTTTATTTTTTATTTCGCAGGCAATATTTATAGACTGACACGTGGCAATTCATTAAGTGGACACATGGCAGCATTATAGTGAAGTTATTTATTTATTAGAAAAGGAGATTTAATCGGGTGGGGGTATAATTTGGTGGGCTAAAAACTCCATTGCCTTGAATCTCGATATTAGTTATGGATTTGTGGTCCTATTTTAGCCCACCAGTACATAAACACATAACCCACCATACTATATGCATAAAGGCTATTTAGTCATTATTTTCATTTTCATCATTACGATGTAGCAGGAGAAAGTTACATAACTCTAGAGAGAGTACGTTCGTTCAAATCTTTTAGTGAAAACCAAAATCATATTTTAGTTATTTAAACAAGAAAATAGAAGAAACTCAAGCACTCCGATATACTAAAAGTTAAATAAGGTATTCGAAATCTTTAATTTCATTACTTTTCGTGAAACCGGGTTAATAGATACATACCAAGTTGTGACTTATTGTTTGCAACTTACCCCGGTTTTTCGAATATGGATTTATCAGACTTGATATTCATAATGTTGAATTACACGTCGTCACCATGTGCACACGTATGCAATAGACGATTTCCATACATATGTATTTGTATATCATCACTATTCATCACTATATGTGTGTATCTCCGGACTGGTTCCATAAGCTCATCAAAAGGAAAACAACTTGCATAAGTAGATTATGAGGTCGGATGAAACCCGGTTTTTGGATTCTTGAAGATCTTGTTCATTTCTAGTTTTTTTCATTTTTTTTAAACAAAATTTTATTAAAAAATAGCAAGAAACTATAAAAAAGACTCATTACAATAAAACAGAAGCTAAAGTTTGGCTTTTTAACCAAAAACCCAACTCAAATTAGTTTTAATAGACCTATTAGAAATCCAAACAAAACGTTCCATCAACCACCTCATAAAAAATAAAGGATTTTCTAGGCATAACTGTCATAAAATAGTGAAATTTCTAGAATTTCAAATACAACAAAAAATTGTCATTACCATAACATCAAACGTGTTTCATTGACCTCCAACCAACCTAATAAAATCTAACCACGAGACTAACATATGAATAGTAGTCGGGTTGGGAATCCCGCCTCTTGGGGGATGACACAATGACCCCATGTCCCACCCTATCGATACACGGTCTTTTACCAACAACTACGTATGAATGTCTGGACCAAAGATCCTACGAAACATCGTTACAAGGAGCATATCACCTTACCACATATCATGCCAAAAATTTGTAAACCTCTCATCCCCCACCTGAATTGGGCACTGCCCTTGATCTCTCAACTGGCGCAACATACGAATGATTCCATTCCAAGGACCAAACCAAGCTCTCCTTGGAATCAAAGAAGTATACCCTCCATCCCTACCATACAACATATGGACGACCCTCACCCACATAGAATCTTGACAATGAAAGAATCTGCATCTCTAACGGAAGAGCGTAGACTTGTTAAAAGCAAAAAAAAAAAACTCCCCACCCCCAATCCACTGTTATTCCTACTCGTTAAGATTTTATCCTACCTGACTCAATGCAACCTCATTTCATCTAGATCAGCACCCCCAAAAAGAATTTTTCCCTTAGGGACTCGAGAGATTGAAGCATAAAATACGACACTACAAACATCGACATTAAGTAACTCCCCAAACTTTCCAGCACTGACTTCAACAAGGTAGGCAAACATTAATAGAAAAACATTTCGCTTTCTAACCCGACAACTTATTCTGAAAATGCTCCATAAGAGGCAACCAAACACTAATCCAAGACATATTTTTTCCCGCTGGAATACCCAAATAAACTAAAAGGAAGGAAGCACCCACATTTCTAGTTATATATTGAATTATAGATTTACGAGTTTTATCATTTTCACTTTGACTATAAACTATGAAATAATTTGATACTTTGTATTACAAATGGTGCATGCAGAATTTCACAACAATAACAACTAACGATAATAATGTCATCCATTTAAACGCATGGAGATTATATAATGATCTATCTCTTTGTTGTGTTTAATTATAGGGTATGAAATATATATATATATATATATATATATATATATATATATATATATATTATATTACATATTTTTCCATATATATTATTAAGTATATATGTTATCAGATATACAGTTTAAACTGGGTCTATCCCAAATTCTAAGGAATCTATAGAAGTGTAGCGTCTGAGTCGTCAGGTATGAAGTTAATCTATTTAATTCAATTAAAAAGGTGGTGAAGGGTTCGTGAGTATGATGGGGGTACATTTTGTACGCACGGCGTACTCTTTGCATGCGCACCATCGGGGTGATCCCGGTGTACTCAAGCCAGAGGCAAACCCTAAATTTTAGGGTTTGCACCCTATTTAAAGACCTTAAGTCCCTCAAGTCCATTACCCTTTCAGCATCTACTGCCCTTTTAGTGTCAATCACGAACCCTAGCCTTCTTGAGTGCATGTTTGAGCTTACCTTGAGTGTTGGGTGTTCTTTGGAGGTTTTAAAGAAAAAGAAAGTTTGGGAAGAAGAAAAGGAGAAGGAGCTTGTGGATCCAGAGTTTATGCACCATTTATATCCTATTGAAGGTATAAAGTCTAAACCTTGATCATTCTTGTCACAACTAGGAATTCTGATACGCTGTAAACACTTAACAAAGAGTGACATTGTAGTTAAAACTTGAAAACATGTATTGTGTTAAATCAATGACAACAAAATTCCTATACAAACTTTCAAATAGTCAACAAAAGTTGGAAACCCTAAAAATCCCGGTTTAAGTCCATTTTGGATTAGGATTTTCTTATTGGGCCTAATGGACCAATAAGCTTCCAATTTGACTATTGTGGGCTTAGAACTCCTATATGGGCTCTAATTGGACCCACTTTCTTTTATTTTAACATTTTGGGCCATAATGGGCCTAGAATGAAATAAAATACCCTTATTGGGCCATAACAAATTTAATTAGCCCTAAAGGGCCATAAAACTCATACTTTGATGTATATTGGGCCCATATCTTGGACTTAAGCACTCAAGGCCCAAACACTCTCCTCTCTTCTCTATCTCTCGGCCCAAGTAAAAAAAAAGAGGAATTAGAGGATTAAGGAGGATTAGCCACCTCCTTAACACCTATGGGATATCCAAGCAATTTCACATGTTTCCATGCACATCCTTTCATCTCTCTCTCTCTCTCTTCTTCTTCTACTACTCTTGGCCGAGAGTATCACACAAAAACACACAATTATTTCACTTAAACACTCTCAAGAACACACTACAACTCCTTCACTTCTCCTTCAAAAATTTCGAGATTTAAGAGCTTTTCAAGTAGGATTTTCCATAAGAGTTATCATCTTAGGTAAGTTGATGCTTAAATCCATGATCTAATTACTTCATTTCATCAAAAATCTCCTCTTAATCTATTCAAATTCATGATCATGCCTCTTAGAACACATCTAAGCCAAAGATCTTCCAAGAAGGCTTGCTAGGACCAAATTTTCTTCCATTTCTTCTTCAAATCGAAAACAACAAGCAAAGGTGAGTTCATACCCATCTATTTTCGGTTTTACAAGTTTTATGGGGGAGAATACAAGTAAAATATGTAGATCTATGTGTATGTGTATGCTATGTATGATTTCATGTATGTATGTGTGATTTTATGTGCTTATGTGTTGAATATGTAAACAAAAAGGAAAGAAGTCTCGAGATCTATGGCATAAGAAGGAAAACAAACATGATCTAAGGTATATTACACTAAACAAGTCAAGAAAATTACCCTCTAAGATTAAAATCAACATATTGCAACATAAAACCAATTTTTGGGCTTAATTTGTCAAATAAACAAAAGTTGGGTTAAAATTGCCATTCACGGTTTTCTTAAGGATCAAAAGAGTCAAAACAGTTAAAATAAATGTTTTTATGAATATTATACTCTTCAAAGGACTAGAAATGTAATTTGTAGCTTAATGGGCCAATTTTTGGGCTTTTCGGCCCATTGAGCCCAAAATTGGGAAAAACCGAATTTTCAAGGGGTTGAATGATAAATTTCACAAAACAGGAGGTAAAAAGTGTAAACAAAACCAATTCAGGGGTTAAAATGCTTTTCTTTTCCAAAAAGGATCAAAAATGTAAAGTTTTTGGAAATTGGGCCAAAAATGTAAAAGTTGCGAAAAGATTGGGTTTTAACTGAAAATTCTGTATTGGAAGGGCTGAAACTGCCAAAGAGTAAATTTTGAGCTAAAAACCTTTATTTAAACAAGTCTATGGTCAAAAATGTCAAGAAAATGAGTTAAGGGCCTAAAATGTCTTTTCTTTAAGTAAGGGACTAAAATTGTCATTTTTATTAAAGAAAGGGTTGAATGGGTCAAATCAATATTTTGAGTCAATTATTTTGGTTTTAAGACATTTGGGTTAAAGAGAATACCATATTACAACTTATGAAAATAGAAGGAAAAATATACATATATTCTCAATTATCGTTATAAACAACCGACAAGTTTCGTGCTATTGAGATTTTAACAATTTTTCAATCAAACTTCCGACCATTATATTATACCTAAAACACGTAATTATTCAAACAGTTGGACTTGAAAGATCTTAATCATGCTTAATGGGCTTTTGTGACCCATTAACGTGACTTTTGGGTTCGACGATAATAACACATGTCTATTGGGCCTCTTGTGACCCAATTACATGTTTAAGGGACCCTCAATGGCTTATATGTGCTATTGGGCCTTGGTGGCCCGTTAGCATTGCTAGTAAGGTCCAAATTTAATCAAATATGAAATGAGCCAATGTGTCCTTCGTATAACCAACAGCCTTAAATAACACACGTAATTAGCAGGACCTTCTATTCCTCTTCTCCGTGTCTGTTAGGCTTATTTGAAATCAAAGTAAACAAATCCCGGTCGTTAATCAACAGCAATCAATTTTGTTTGGATTAAGTGAGTAATAACGGGCGACACCTCTAAGGGCCGTTCGTAGTCT